CATTGCACTAGAAGAATACCTGATATTGGACCCATGGTTCTCGGCTTTGGGTACATTAGAATCACTAGAGGAGGCTTAAAATGACCGATGCCAGTACCTTACCCACACATTGGTCTGGGGGTGTGAAGACAAAGGGTCTGGACTCAATAGAGCAAAACATTGATTTAAGGCTCATTTAGAAAAAAATGTAATAAATTGAGGAATTCATCAAATGTATATTGAGCATTTGCAGTGTGCCAGGCATTGTGTTGGTCATGGGTACACAAGGATGAAAAAGACACAGTTCTACCCCTGGAGAGCTTTCAATCCAGCGCAGGGAGGCTGTGCCAACAGCCCTCACACGTGGGAGGGAAGGATGGCGTTATGCGCGGAGCATGAAGGGAGCGCTAAGGAAGAGCACCTGACCCAGCTTGGGGCGGAAGGAGGAACTCGGTGGGGGAAGAGAGGAGATGTCGAGGTTGTGACAACTTTAGTAGTCTCAGAAATCCCAACAGTTTGGCTGCTACTCAGGGTAATATGAGCCTTTACTGAGCCCGGGCACAGTGTGGAGAGAGTGTGCCTAAATGCAGACACACTTCACCTCTTAGTAGGTACGGCCTTGGACCAGTGACCCAACCTGTCTTTTCCTCGCTTTCTCCAGATTTGGGAGGGGGAAGAATAATAGTGTCTCCCTCTTGGGAGAACCACATGATACAATACACGTAGAGTGTACCAGGTAGAGCGAAGGGCTCGAATGTCGGGGACCAGGGCCAACACCCTGGGGCAGCTCCCAGCTAAGTAGGCACTTGACAGATTGTCAATATCATCGCATCATTTCAGAAGCCCCCTTAAGCCTCCAGCTGTGGCCCTCATCACTGGGAGCTGGGCTTGAGAGTTTTCTATCAGGTTTTCAGTTTGCTTGTTCTTCCTCCTGTATATGTATTCGTCCTTGGCAGCCTTTCCCCGGCCTCTTTAAAACAATTACTTTGTATCTACGGTAGATAAGAAACTCCCAAAGCCAAGGCTGAAACTGTGTCTCAAATACTCAGCTCTGCCTGGGAAACTGTATTTAAACAAAGAAGGCAGCTGCAGGGCAGGCCATGGTTTGACGTCCGAGGGCCTTTCTGTTTCCTCTTACACTCGTAGTGACATTCTGAAGGACTGACTTTCTGGAGTAAAGGACTTCCTGACAGGAGAGTATGACAGCCTGGACGAGGCTGGCTTCTCTTGGGGTTCACTGTGTTTCTTCGTTTAGGGGATCACATTTTAAAACACACTCTCAGTTAAAACCACACTTCCTTTTATCCCAAATCCCCAGTCACATTTTTACCTGTCCCCAGAGTCTCCCTTCCTTCCTCAGGAAGGGGCATCTCTGCCCCTTGTCATGTGGCTCCCAGGTGTTTCTATCCACCTTCATCCGAGCCTGGCTGGCGCTCGCCTGCCATTATGTTGGCTAAATATTGGCACAAGGAAGTCACAGATGTGGCCTGTTCACAAACACCACACAGGTCGCTGAGCAGATGTTCTCACGTTTACAAGTTTGTTTCCATTTATGGGCCCTCGCAGTGGCTCCGCCTTCGTGGGCAGCGTGCTAATCTGCTCAGTGTCCCTCAAACTCCGCTGCACCAGCATCGCCTGGGAAACGTGCAAGTCCCCGTGCCCAGGCCCGCCCCAAACCGATCAGTTCAGATCTCGGGGGGGGGGGGGCTCAGGTGTCAGTGGTGTCTAGAACTAACTCCCCAGTGTGCAGCCAAGCTGGAGAACTTTCTCCCCAGTCAGTGCCTCTCAGACTTTAATGCACATAAGACTCACTTGAGGATCTTGTTAAAAATGCAGATTCCGACTCCGTAGGTCTGGGTGGGCCTGAGATTCTACATTTTTAACAAGTGCCCAGGCAACAGTGTGGGTGCTGCTGCCCGTCCAGAGATCACACTCTGAGCAACAAGGCTGTAGTCCTGTCTAGTGCCTATTCATGGGCCTTGAAAATGATTTTCCAGAAAGTCTTAGTCCTTTTAAGTTTGTGAATTTTTTTCATATTTATCAGAGGTCTCTCTGTATTTCGCTCCCTCTCTATTACTCGGCCCCTACCCTACAACCACACTCGGTGGCAAAGTCAGCTCCCTTGATTTCAATACTTTCTCCTTTCCTCTGGACTCCAATTCTCCTGGACACAGCTCACGCGGTAGGGAGAGGGTCGTCTGGCTACATCTAGGCAGGTTTTTCTGCGGATTTAATTTGTTATCTATGCACAAAGTTCATTGAGCACAAGGATGTACCCTCCCGGCTCAGCAGACTCGGTGAACATTGTGTGTGATTTAGCAAATGATAATAACCCAGAATCTTATTACCCTCCAAATTGGTGAGTCACACACACCAGGTCTTTAGTTAAAAAAATCATTAATGATGACAAAAGGCTAGGGGGAAAACACAAAGCAAAAAAAGTAATTTTCAGTTTTCAGAACTGGCTAGGATTCCGTATTATAGGACCTTGGAAAACTAATCTCCTGGCCAGGACTCTATTGGCTTTAGAGTAAAGTTTGTCAACCAGGTATCTGTGAACCCTGGTCTGTGGACATATTCTTGGGGATTCAGAACTCTCCTGGTAGGCTTTTTCAATAGTGTAGCAAATGCTGATAATAACTGAAAAGCTAATAGAAAGCATATTACATCATCAGGATGACCAATCATGTCCGAGACTCATGATTTCAGTGCCGGCATCTGTGTGTCTCCTCATGATTGTATATATGCCAAAGAGCCACACTTTAATTATTGCAGGCTGATGATAAAAGAACAAAAACAGAGGGAGGTTTAATATAAAAATCATGCATGTTAGCCAAGAGAAGGCCCAATTGTATCACAGGGAATCTTATAAACAAAAGTGCCTCAGTAGTTTGGATATAAACCACTTCATAGTTTAGACATGCTGCAACTCAGAAGAAACCACATCATAGCCAGCAGGACCACTTTCACGTCGAGCACGGCCATTTAACCTCAGCCAAATAACATTGTCCAGTACACATACATCTGTACACCGTCGACTTGTGTTTAACTAGCATTTAATTTTTAAAATTTGTTTTGGTTATATAGTTGCTTCAGAACTACAAGCATTGTTTTAAATTTATATTCAGGTTACTTTCGAACGCAAATAATTTATGTCATTATTGGGACAATTTTTTGTCCTTTCGAAAGGTCTTGCATTTACTCATTTAGAAACACAGTCTTCGAACTTATTCATTCCATGGGCACATGTTAAATTCCGTCAGCATTTTTTAAAGTGTCCTCGTGGCCACGTGGTAGCCGTGGGCTCTCCATTTTCAGGCACTGTTAAGGGGACACTGTTGGAACTGTAAGCTCAGTTCTTAGATTGCATTTTGATATTAGCTGCACATGTCCTAGCAAACATTTTCCAAGGGAAATTACTCCCTGCCTGGACGTAATGCCTGCTGGTGACATTTTCAGACTGGAGGATTGTGGAAGGTTCAACAGGACAAGTCAGTGGTGAGTAATTCTGGGCCCATAAGAAAGCCCAGTCATACCTAAGACTTGGAGGGGGAAAAGTGCTTACAGGCTGATGGGCCTCTGGCTGTCCACTCCCTGGTGCGCGGCTGAAAGGCTGCATGGCTGCCACGGGTGGGGTGTCCTCTTTGGGCAACTGTTGACTGCCTGCTGAGAGGCAGTAAGACTGGCTCTGAGGATTCAAAAGAGAAATACGTAAAAATGCTATACCACCCACAAAGACCAGCTGCCCCGTGGGGTTGACTTTCAAGGGATGAAATGTCTTTTCTTTTTTTAGATAGAGTAGAAGGGAGAGAGAGAAACATTAATGTGAGAGAGACACATTGATTGGTTTCCTCCTCCATGATCTCGACTGAGGCCAGGGATTGAACCTGCAACCCAGACAGGTGACCTTGACCAGAAATGGAACCCGCAACCCTTCAGTCCAAGGGCCGATGCTCTAACCACTGAGACAAAACGGCCAGGGCTAGGGGATGAAATGTGTTACTGAACAGCCAGGGCAGGGCAAATGATCATTCCTGAGGTCCTCTGCACCTTCAGAAGTATTTTAAGAGTAGGTTTGTTTTTCTGAAAGATACACTCACTGGAAGGCTCATAGTCCTGGCCAGTATGGGATGTTATTGACAGAGGATTTGAAAAGTAAAGCCTATCCGAAGAAGATATTTGTAGGTTTGCAATCATATGAATACAAGTTTATAGCAAAGGAAAAACCCATATAAACAAAGTTTGAGTTTACAGAAATTTTGGGGTTTTAGTCTCTTTGCTCCTAGTGTTCACACAATAAATCATTCTTGTCGTGGGAAGCAAAACCTTATTAAAATTCTTATTGCAACAGCTTAGCTATTTCTTTTTCAGGGTTTTACTCTGACCTGCCTTGTGCATAGTTGGTTCCAAATGGTAGTGTTTTAGTCAGTTTTTAGTTATTAATGGTTTAGGCGTGTCATTCACATGCGCCTAGGCATTTCAGAAGAAAAGTTAACTATTGAGTCTGTTTCATGGAGATTTACAGATATCTAGATGTCTGATGCTAACTGGAATATTTTCACCTTTCAATCCAAGTTATATGGCCTTGTGGGAGTATGTTTACCTCGATCTCCTGATATTTGCAACAAGAATTGTCTTTCCTGTAAAACTCTGTGGTTAGAGTCTATGAATTTTGGAGCAACTTTGCTACTAACTAACAGCATTAGTCATGCATTCCACAAATACATATTAACCATTTTGCTCTCTGCAAGGCACTGATGACCACCTTGTTTTAAACATTTCTCTGAACAAATCTTAATTGTAATCTGAATCTTCCTCCTAAGAGATTTTTGACTAATAGAGAGAAAAAATTATTCCAAATGCATTTTAAAAGCATGCTAGGCTGTTGTGCAAACCAGTAATAAGGGGTACTCATAATCATAAAGCATAAAATTATCAATTATGATTTCATAGTTTAAATTTCTACACATGCTATAACTAAAATGAAAACTGTTCAACTCCCAAAGGCAATAAATACTTACATGACGATTGCCCATGTTCGTTTTTCTGAGATAGTTGTTCTGTATTTTATTAAGAGATCAGCTCTCCTAAAGGCCAAGTTTATAATGGTATTCCCAGAACATACTATCTCTTGAGTTTAATAAGTAACTTTTGGCTCTGAATTTGAATACATTGTTGGGGATGGGTAGGGAGTGTCCCTAGCTACAAATGAGTTGAACCTATCCAAGCCGCCTTGGCAGGCCATCTTTTCAAAGTAAGATATTTATTAGTAAATCAAGTATAGGTTTTTTAAGTTAAATAATTCATTCACAACTAAAAGGCTAAACCTGTCTCACTTCTGGATTATTGAAAGAGTTTATTTAAAAAATTTTTAATTTAGGGTATTCATTTAAGATCTCATTCCTCATAATAATAAAAGCATTAGTCTAACAAGACTGAAAAAATTTTCTAATTTACTATTATCACTATTATTAATATGGAAAATCTTTTTGAGAGCTACACTGAGTTATGCTAACATCATTTTTATAATTCAGCTAGTTTTTAAATGAAAAAAGTAGTATATGCACTTAGTAAATTTTTTTCCTAATAATATGAAAAGTTATCGTGAAAAGTAAGCCTACTGACCTCACAGCCTCTCCCCTAGTGGTTTCCTGTGAATCCTCCCAGAAATGGTACGTATGCACAGCCATGTGTGTCTGTCTTTCTATTTATCTGTTTGTCTATCTACCATCTCTGGACTGCAATGTTTTTTTCCTCAACAAACGAGTTCGTACAATGCATTCTGTCCCATGCCTTGTATGCTTCATATACTAAACACATACGTCGTTAGTGTATTTCTTCCCCAGTGTCCACGTGGTAGTTTATTATGGGTATGAACCAAACCGTATTTCATCAGTCCACTATTCAAGGTCATTTAGGTTGTTGTGGTCTTCTGCATGAATCTCTGCATATGTGTCCACGTTTATCTGCAGAATAAAATCTTAGAATGCGGTTGCTGGCCCAAGAGTACGTGCATTTAAAATTCCAGTAAAGGCAGCCAGGCTGTTCTTTGTACAAACATAAAAATGCTGAACCACTCTCAAAGGCCAGCTAACCGATGAGGCTGACTTTCAAAAGATGAAATGTATCCCCCCACCCCCGATAACATGCCAGGGCTCATTTCCCCGCATACTGGGCAACACTGAACATTATTAAAGTTTGTCATTTCTGCCAATTTCAAAGATGAAAAATGGTTATCTCACTATTTAATGTACATTCCTTTCCTTTGATATTCTTAAAACAGTATATCCCATTTTTAAAAAGCCATTTGCATGAATTTTTCTGTGGTCGGCTCATGTCCTTTATTTTTGAGTTATTAGTCTTTTCATTATTTATTTGTAACAACATGTGGTTTATAATAAGATCAAGGCTTTTGTCAAGTGTAACAATTATTTTTCCCCAATCTGCTGTTCGTCTTTTGTCTCCGAGTGTGTTTTGCGTGTGTACGTGCGTGTGAAGAAAGGGTTTGTGTTTGTGTATTTAAATATATCAATCTTTCCTTTTTTGGCTTGCTTAGAAAAAAAAGCATCTCTGCATTAAGATGCTTAAAACTTCTTGTACATTTTCTTTGTGCTCTTTCAATGCCTTCATTTTTTAAGGCTTACATCTTCGATCCATTTGGAATTGATTTTGATAGAGAGTAAGGAAGGAAGAGTCAGCTTTCGTTTTGGTTATTCCATCGATCCTAGGTAGTTAATAAATCATTCATCTCTCCTCTTCTGGTCTAAGATGCCATCCTTAGTTTCTGCCAAAATTCCCATGCAATACAGTATTAAAATTCTGGCAGGTTTAATAAATTCCGAGTGCGTATGTTCATTCTTTGGTTCTTTAACTTTTATCTGCTGAAAAGCCTTGGGTGTGCTGATTGCTGGGCTACAGTGGACAAGACGGTGTGATTTCCTCTTCCCGGAGCCTACAGTCCAGGGGAGGAAGCAACCATTGCGGATTGTTGTACAGGCTGTGACAACAATAAATAGGATGCGGAGACAAAGGCTAACGTGCTCAAGCATACACACGCGTGTGTGTGTGTGTGTGAGAGAGAGAGAGAGAGAGAGAGATTTAAATAGAATGTGTGCTCTTCAGGGAGCTAATGTTTAAGCTGTGAACCAAAGCATGGAAAGGAGGCATCATCTGGAAAGAGAAAATGTTCGAGGCCAGATGTTCTCAGTGTGTGCTAAGGCTCAGCAATAGGAAAGAGCTTTGCAGACCAGAAGAAGGAAAAGATGGTCAAGGAGGCTGGAGTCTGTTGTGTGCCAGGCAGGAGGACAAGTGCTGGAAATACGGTGGGAAACAGGACAAAACACCCCTCCAGAAACTGACAGTGGAATGGGCAGAAGACCAGAAGACGTAAGTTACAACGAACTCTTTGACCCTTCACTATTATTTTGTCTTTAGTGTCTAATTTGTGCTCTATCATTCACGGTCTCTTTTTCCCAGCCTCAGACTTCACAGGGCCGAGTCCTCCCTGCCCCACCTCTGTGAATTAACCTCTGCACCACTCACCCCTCCTAGAACCCTTTATCAGTGACATCTCTCCCCCTCCTGTCCTCTCCCGCCAGTGTTGAGGCTCAAAGTTCAGGAGGAGCCGGGCAGTTGGATGTACAGTGTTCACTGCAGAGATAAGTTCTGTTCCAGGGTACTGAGTTCCCGAGCACAGGAAATGCGTAAAGAAGAGATATGTATAGTTTATGGCTCCAGGGAGGTTACAGACACAAAGCTTGAAGGCCAAGTAAGAAGCTGACTCACTTTTTTTTTTTTTTTTTTTTTTTTTCTAGATCACCACCAATGAAGTCATCTCTTGGTTATTTAAATTTACCCAGAGTCAAGTTGGGATTCGATGGAAACACAACCATTCCTAATATCATCTCCCCAGTTGGATGCGGATGTGGTAAGGTGGCCAGGGTCATTCTAAGCAGCAGCAGGGGAAGGGGAAATTAACTCCTCGGAGGAATTTATGGGAGGATGTCAGGCTGCCGGCCCCGAGGGAAGCCAGAGTCCGGCCTCGGAAGGACGGGTGAGAAGACATGGCCGGGGAAGAAGCGCATCCTAAATATTTAGTGATTCTACATTACTAACAGGTGCTGTGTGAGATCTTTACTAGACCGGGCCTGTTCATTTCCACCTCTTGGGTTTGGGTGGTTGTCGAACTGGGAATGCCAGCCAAAGTTCTCACTTCCCCCCCACCTTGTGAGTCTCCATAGCAAGTCAGAGATCAGTCTTGCCAAAGAGTCTTTCCTTCCCTACCACCCACCATGGTTAAGTTTCTAACAGTTCTTTAAAATGGACTTATACACCTATTAGGAGTTAAATTGTATTCTCCTCCCATCCAAAAGACACACTGAGGTCAGAACCCTTAGTACCTGTGAATGTGACTTTGTTTGGAAATAGGGTCTTTGCAGATGTGAGCAAGTAAAGAAGAGGTCCCTAGGGTGGGCCTGAAACCATGATAACTGGTATTTTTGTAACAGGAAAATGGTATGTAAAGACACACACACACACACACACGCACACACACAGGATTAGGCCATGTCATGACAGAGGCAGAGACTGGGGTGATTTAGCTACTAGCCAAGGGCCACCAAGGGCTGACAGCCACCGCCAGACCCCAGGAAGAGGCAGGAGGGGATTCTCCTCCACAGGTCTCAGAGGGAGCAGGCCCTGCCGGCACCTTGGTCTTGGACTTCGGGCCTCCAGAATGTGGAACATACATTTCTGTTGTTTGAAGCCACAGCAATTTACGGTGCTTTGTCACAGCAGACTCAGGAGACTAATGCAACATCCGGAAAAACCAACTGGAAAAACCTCATCAGTTGCTGTGAGTCTCACAGCAAATACATTATGCAGTATAATATGTATTTAATAAAATTTCCATTTAGAAATACTTTGGAAAAAACCTCGTATGATATGATAATAAGGCCACAAACATTTCAGATTATTATTTTTTCTTTATTGATTTTTAGAGAGAGAGGAAGGGAGAGGGAGAGAGAGATAGAAACATCGATGAGAGAGAACATCGATTGGCTGCCCCGTGCATGCCCCCCACTGAGGATCGGGTCCACAATCTGGGCATGTAGCCTGACCGGGAATCGAACTGATGACTTGATGCTCAACCGCTGAGCCACACCAGCCAGGTTCAGATTATTTTGTAGCCATACAGTATTGAAAATAACAAAAGCACATGGATGCTGATTTTCTAAATGTAACAATCAAATTGAACACTTGCTGAATATCTATTTTTGTAGGAAGAATCCATAGTATTTTATTTACTTAGTGTAATTTAGGTAGAATCCAAAAATTGTAGTTGATTTTTAGACTCATAATTTCCTCTACATAAACAAAAGCAAAAATGTTAATATTTTGTCATGTTTGTTTATAGTTTCTTTTCCCCCTTCACGTTAGTTAATAAATTCCCAAGAGCAGAGACAGGCCTATTGCTTGACAAATCCGCACAGTGACTGCAAGTAATGGCTACTTAATAAAAGTCGTTGCTTGACTTTTTTAAGACAAAAAGACTGAAATCTGCAGGAAATGATTGTAGCTGCTGAAAACAACTGTTTCTATACTCCTATACTTTCCCAAGTAGTAAAAACCATGAAAGTAATACATTTCACCTTGCAAGCATAAAAACATTTTTTTTTAAATCTCCTAAATAGAAGGCTTCTTAACTCAATGATTGGTTAACAAGTAGAAATCCGGGACACAGCTCCCACCCCTGCCCTGTCACGTGCTTGTGCTCTAGCTGGGGAAATAAAACATCCGTATAAGGAAAACACCTTGATTGCATGTAACATTTTGTGGCAGAATAACCATAGCCTGAGAGCGTGGAGATCTGGGTTTTAGGCTGGTCTCTGGTACAACCTGAGAGTGTGATCCTATCAATCACCATCTCTCTGATAAGAGTTAGATTTCATCTCTACATTTAATTGCAGACCCAAAGTCCTGTGAACAATTTGGATTTAGGAAGATATATTGGGACTCTTTTGGTTGCAAGGGACTAAAAACCTAATACAGCAACTTAAGAAAATGAGGTATTTGGGGCTCACGTAATTGGAAAAGTTG